AACATTGTTAATGCTTCGTTAGCTAATCTTTAGGCGTTAGCTGAAAGCTTTCTTGAAGAGCCCTATTTAGAACAGGAAACAGAGGACTGTTCGGTGTTTCCAAATAATACTGATGTTGCCCCTCACTTCTTCCCGTGTTCGTCTCGTAAGTTTATATTTGTTGTAACTCCTATTGTTCCTTTTGCAGTCTGTTGTGAGGGTGTAAGCGGCAAATCTAAGATACTGCAGTAGAAATGATATGCATATTCACGCTTTCTTATCCAAAAACCACTTCTTTCTGTTTATTAAAGACTGAAATGATCATTTAAAAAGAAAAATTTTTTTCTTTTCTAGACACTGTAAATGCTGAAGAGGTTTTGTTCTTTTTAAAATAAATACGACAAATAACTATTATTAATTTGAATGATTGCAATAGATATGCAGAATTGAAGTTCTTTTTTTTGATCGTAGTTGATTCCAGAAAAAAAAATTCTAACCTCTTGAAACCTTCAATCAGTTATTGATGCAATCAACAGTTTCTTCGTCTCCTTTTAACGACTATAGAAATGGAGCAAACGATATTGCTACTGTTTTTGTTTTTTTCAGTACTCCAGATGAGGGAGAGAACAGAATCTTAGTAATCAATCAGTTGTCTTAAATAAGCATTTTTTTATTTGATCAATCATTTTTGATAAGTTTTTTTTAAATTTGATTTTATTTAATTGTAAATATGAAATTGTTGTCAACGCGTTTAGTTTTGAATGGTGGTTTAAAGAAACTATAACGAAACAGAAAGAACTACAAAAAAGAGCTACTTTTTTTTGTCGATATATCTTTTTTCTCTGTTTTTTTATATATGTGTGAATAAAGACTTAAAAAGTTGAAAGGACTTATGAAGAAGCTGTAAACAGTGCAATACAGCTATCAATGTAAAACACCATCAGTTTAGACTACCTTATTTATTGTTGACTATTTTAATAACCTATATTTACATTTGTTTTCAGAACAACTGTTTCGTTGTTTTTTTTTCTTCTTTTTTACATTATTCTAATGACTATAAACAGAGAATGACAGTGGATATTAAGTTACACACAAAAAAAGGAAAGAAAAAGAAGACGAAAAACGTAAGAACAAAGGTTAAATTTTAAAACAGCAAAAACTATGCAAATTGTAGTGTACAAAAATTTTCACATATATTGACTACAGAAATATCTGAAACCGTCTATAAATAGGCATCACATCAAACTGGTAATTCTAAGTCTTTCTGTTTCCATTTTTATCCAATTGTATAAAAATTTTTAGTAAATGTAACAGAATGAGTGTGTAAAATTAGCAAATTTGATACCGCAGCCATTTTTCTTCGCTATTTAAACTGTTTTTTGAAAAAAATTTTTTGGTCAACAATTCAATTGCTTTTAAAGGGTTTTACAATAATAATTAAATAAGTTTCTCTTTTCAAAGCAAAAAATTTTCTCTACTAATTTTACAACCAATTTTATAGTAAATTAGTAAAAACAAAAAACAAAGTTTATTGAACAGCAAAATAGCAAAACTTTTTCTTTTTATTTTTTCGTACTTTTCTTACATTTTATATTTTTTTATTTTGTATAGAATTACAGTACATTTTTATCTGAATATTGTTCAGACGTATCAAAATAACTGTAATTGTATCTGATTAATGAGGAACAATGATAGATGTTTTACCGAGCAAGTACATCAGTTTTTCAGACTCACCCGCATTACTGTTTATCCACGATGCAGCAATTACCAATTCCACTGGCGATGAGCATTTTCCAGTTGATTTTTCGCAAGAATTACGATTTTTTTTTGATGTCACCAGTTATGCCAGCAGAAGGTATCGGTTATCACCTTTTTTTTTTCATTTACATATCGTTTACAGTTCAGTGCACCACTTAAAACATTGCTTTTGGTCCTACAATTTTAGTATCACGAAATATAACCGCCACAGTGTTTGGAAAAATTTCAAAAAGCTACTTTTTCTATGTTTCTTCATAATCGTTTTTCTTTTTATTGTTTTGATGGTAAGCAAGAAAAAAATTATGAAACGTAAATTTGCTACTCTTTTGCTTACGATCTCCAATTATTTAGTTTTGGAACGCCGCCGTGTTGGCACCAGTAAACTTTTCATATTTATTAACCCAAAAAAATTGGGTGGTACATCAAATTTGTTTTCTTTGATTATTCTGTTATAAATACCGCCACCAAACATTGAAAGCATTGTGCACTGAAAGTAGACGGAACATTTCTTTATGTTTTTCTTTCTTCTGAATTCTTTTTCAGACACCCAATTATTAAGTTATTACAATGATTATTGTTCACAGGAATCTATTTTTTTCAAAGTCAAAGAAAAAATTTTTTTTTAATTTACTTTGAAATTATGTGAAATAATTTTATTAGGAAAGCAATAAACAACAAAATAAAAAGAGGTTTTCACTTTCTTTTTTTGTTTTAAGACAACATTAAAGAACGTCATTGTTTGTTTTATAACTACTGTTTTTTTTCTTTATTGGCTTTCAATTAGCATACTGCTTTTACTTACTTATTAAATAATTAGATTTTTATTAGTTTTTTGTATGCTTTTTCTTCACAAAATCTACTTAATCTTTCATTTTTTTCATATATCTCTCACAAACTGTTAGCAGACGATGTCAATACAACATCGGTGTTGATGGTTTTGATTGTTTGACCTGTTTATAAAAAAAAATTGTCAATAAATTAAAAATTAACAGATTTGAAAGAAAAACATAAGGGAAGAATAGGTGGCCAATCAAAAAAAAAAGGATCAACGGTGTTGCTAAAACGTTTAAAACATCAGTTTTACTTTTAAACTTTGTTGTTTGGATGATGAAAATGGCTTAAAGTTGGGTACGTACAAATATGTGGCTTTGTGGGAGGCTATTATTTGCTTCTCTTTTGAACTTGGTCCGTTTTTTTTTTAATTTTTTTCCTCTTTTTGAGAACACAGTCTTTTAGCGGAATATATGTGTTAAGATCAATAAAGTTTTACTATAAACACATTTTTTTTTTTCAAATAAGACTTTTTTTGCCAGTTTTTTGACGCCATCAACAGCGCCATTATCGATATATAAAAAAGTGTTTTAGTGGGTGTTACGACAATAAGATACTGTTTTTTTTTTTTTGTTATATATCAGCAAAAAATTAGTTTTTTTTTTCTAATTTAGTGAATAAACACTATGGTTAAGTTTGTTGTTGAAAATATCAACAAAGAATAGCAATTACCAAAACAGATCAGTAAATTAGTTCACCAAAAATGAGTGTGTACGACTGACTACATTAATTATTGAAAGTCTTTACGTTGTCTATTTGAACTTGTAAAAAAAAAA